GGGGGGGGGCAACTGATGACAAGCTTTTTATTTCCGCCACTAAGTTCCTAATAGATAACTATATATTTTACGAGAGCACTGGAAGGCCCTTTAGGAGAATTTTGGCAGTCACTTTTGCCATGAGCCGCCGCTAATTTCTGAATTTGGCTAAAGGTAAATATGAAATGTGAAACACAAGTGTCTTGTAAAAACACTGGGGACATTCTGTGAGTAATTGTGACTGCACAAAATCTTAATCCCGGTGTAAGAAAAAGGTCAAGTATGTCATCCTGGCAAAAATAGACTTGAATGAAGTCATGGAGCTTCATAAGCAGCCACACACAATGACCACATGACACATGTGATTGGCCGACTTTATTTCTTTCCATGTCCTGTGTGGACACTTGAAAACGTTTGTGCTCGGTCCAAGCTGAAAGTGTATCCGTGGTCTTAAAACAGCCGTCGGTTGCCAAGTAAACCTTCTAGTCATCTGAACTATTTAGTGTGTGTTCCAATAATGACACGTAGGTGTCAACTATAGGTTGCATACACTGCTCATGCCAGCATTGAGAAAGAGGGAGTCTGCACAAATCTATGACAAATTATCACCTATTAGCAGTGTCAACAAAAACATATTTGAACACACTCGCAAACATGCACAAAGACAACAAACGTACCAGCCGTTCACGTAGAGAAGGCTTTTCTCGATTATCTCGAGAGTCAAGAACATCATCAAGTCGGACGCATTCGCCTCAGAGTGTACAGTTGGTAATTCCTCTTCTTTGAAGGATTTGCAGGTGCCTGCTGTTTGAGCATGCCAGTCTTTTTGACAGGCACTTCAGAATGCCTGTGAGAACAGTGTGGAAAATTTGCTGAATTCCATGGACGAGTGTCAGATGAGGTGGAATGTCTCTGATGTATGCTAGTGGACGAGCTCCTCGTGGAGTTACATCGTTCCTGCGCTGCGTTCTCCGAATGGAGAACACGACAGACCAATGTCTCACTTTGCATACGTTGCACATATTATGAATAACTGCAGGTTATTGGGATGCCAGGGAATCTTACATGCCCTTCATTAGCAGTGGATGTGTCTGACGTGTTCTTACTCACCACTGCTTTTATAAGCTGCCTTTTGCGTCACAACTGTACAGTGTTTTACATTGAGCAGTGTGTGATGCACAGCATGATGCAGATGCAGAACCGATGGACTGGTATTTCTAAAACAAATGCGAAGTAAAACGCAAAGAGGTCATGAGAGTAACAGTTTGGGAGGTTTAGCAATTAGCAAATTTAAATTTGAAGCTGTACACGTACACTGTGCAAAACTCCTCCTCATCAGATGAGTTCTAATTTCATATATATATATATATATAGTTGTAATAAATGGCTGCAGCATCTGTGGCCGTGTCAGGTGAGATCTGCATCGATACATTTGAAGCTACCAGTTAGGACTAGGCAAATATTAAAAGTATAAAATCTAAAATTTTAGTGTGACATTAACAACATCATTCCACGGCATTGTCAACAGAACAGCTGTTTTTGAATGGTATTGAATTCCAAAAGTAACATTTTCAGGTTTTATTGCATCTTTAACCAATAGTTGTGAAAATGGAGTTCGTACTTTGTGAAGATGCACGATGTGCACACGAGCTACTGAATCAGTATACGTGTTGGCTATGACTGCGTTGGAGAGACAGAGAGTGATGCAATGCAAGAAAGCTCACTGTTACAGGAGTGTGATCAACAGCTGCAGCTGACGGAAGGGGAGAGAGGCCACTATAAGTATTAACGGCCATGACTGAATCTCTCTGCCTCCCGCTTGTCTTGCTTAGTGATACACTCACACACACACCTCCTGTCTGTTTAATCAGATGAACACTGTCGGCCGTGAGCGTGCGTGTGTGTGTAGAACACAAACCCACTGAAAGAATTGTCCAAAAAAAAGGGAAGCAACTAAAAACCTATGTCAATATTGTAAAAAAAAAAAAAAAGTATCAGTCAGTGATAACAAACTTTTTGCACGTAGAGAACAGTATGTGCAGCAGGGCTTCGCTCTCTCGCTCTCTCTCTCTCTCTCTCTCTCTCTCACACACACACACACACAGACCCCTGTGTACAGTGTGTGCATAGAGGTGTCTGTGTGAGTCTACATTTACACATATATGCTGAAAATAAACACAGGTTACATCACTCCTTGTGACCCTGCAGCAGATCCAGATCCCAGTCCCCTTTTTAAAAGAGGTCTGACCAAACGCAGCCTCTGATTGGCCGGGATGTTGCAGGGCCAGTGGAGGTAGTAATAGCAACCTGGTTTTATTTAGACCACTATTCACATTGCAACACCTCCATTAATAGTTTATATTCTATCCTGGAAATACTGCAAGTACATTAAATAAATAAGCACATGTGCATACCTCTGTGATGGTGAAGACTCGGGGCGAGGGGCAAATTTTGGCAATTTAAAAAAAAAAACAAACCTGAGAGGCAATTGCTCCTGCTGTCGTATTGGCAGACTGCAATTTAGTTTCATTTAAGATTTACACCAATGCATAATTAATATTTTTGTTTAAACGTATGCCAACAAACACAAACTTCCCAGTTTTGGATGGATGTTTACAAAACACTTTTAAACGCACTTGAGCAATTTAAGATTCAGCTAAAAATAATTTAAAATCAGTTTCTTAATGCTTGAAAATATATATATAATAGAATGAAACTATAAATTATTACTCGATTTTATTTTCTAAGTCAAAAACAAAAGGATGAGCTCAGTGGTTAATTTGTATCTTGAAGTCAAAGTTAGGGGAAAAAAATTAAATTTGAATATTAGCGTGGCTAAGGTTTTGCCTTAAAACTATAGTAAAAGAATCCAAAACTTTTATGAAACTTTGTTTTATGAAAAACAGCAAAAATGTATCTAAAAAGCTGCATCTATTTTAATGCTCTGTAAGCTTTTTTTGTTTAGCTTGGTTAGCTTGCTGTTTTAGCTTGCTCAGAGATCATTTTAAAGATCGGATTCAGATTCAATTAAGTAATCAAAATGACCTGAAAGAAAGCAGGAAAGTATAGGATGTTAAAAAAACAGCCAAAATGAAGTAAAAAAAAACCCCTCAATTTTAGACAAAAGGAAACAGTAGCTCAAAACGCACAGAAATGCTGAGCAAGGAAAAACTAATTTGTGCTGTTGTGGTATGAATTAGGAAATTAGGAAAAGAAAAATGAAAACAAAAGAGAATGTAAGGTTGTCCAGGATTAGTTAATCATACATAAACAAAAATCACAAATTCAAACTCCGAAACTCAGAAATGTTGTAAAATTCTATCAGATCAGTTAGCCAACAAATACATGAAACAAAAATCACCAAACTCCTAATGAAAAGATGGGTCAGAAATGTTTTAAAATTCTATCAGATCAGTTAGCCAACAACTAGCAGAAAAAAAGCCAAGGAATGTCAGAAATTAGGCAAGAACAGGTGACGGTTTAGCATCAAATAAGTAACTGAGTTAGATGAACAATTCTAAATGACCCCAGCTTTAACGTGGAAACACAAATTTACAGAAAACGTGAACTGATCTAAAATGTCCCAAAGTTTTTTTACAAGGGCCGGAAATCTGTTGAATACAGTAAATGTAATACATAATATATTACGAGAGCCGGAAATCTAATTTAAATTCTTTCTGATGGTGGGCTCTGGGAAATATAAGGTTTAAATAATGAAGTTCCTGTTGAATACAGTAAATGTAATACATACAGTGTGAGAAACAGACCGGAAATCGAACATGTAAATGAAAACGAGGACAGTCGTAGCGCAGAGTTTCTGGTGGTGGTCTGTAAAGAAAAGCTTGTTAAAGTATGTATGAACCTGAAACCATATATGCCACCTCCTGAAACAACAAGTCCTTTATTAAGGTCCAAGTCTGGCTGGTTCCCAAGGGGGTCGAACCTAAGGATTCCACTGTTGTTTATGTGCCTTGTGTGTGTGTGTGTGTGTGTGTGTGTGTGCGTGCACCCATAAGACAGAGATGTACAGCTGCCCCATTTTCCACTTCCACACAAACTGATCTCAGCTGTTCAAAATCATCAGCGAGTGTCATCAGAAATGCTCACACACACACACACACACACACACACAAAGGGCCACATATGGACAGGTCTGGCTCATTCATCCCTCCACACAAATGTTGGTGATAAATCCTCTGTGATAGAATGTGCAACTGTGCAGCTATTTTCTCCCTAAAACAACTCCCTTATTGTGCAGGGAGATCACCACAGGACCCCAGGAATCTGCCGCTCCGTGAGTCACTCAGGAATATCTATATAAATATAATTAACACTTGTCCTGCTCTGTTTATCAGAAACCACATAACTTCCCATTGGTCCGAAGTGAGAGCTGGTCAGTTTTTATGACCTTAAATCTAAGCCTGAAATAAAGTTTTAAATATTTGTAGGGGGGGGGGGTGTTATGATGCTAATAGCATAGCTTCTTTATCCATTCATTGACCAGTATTTTAGGTGGTCCGAAAACAAGTGACAGTGGCTTTTGTTTTTAACCCCTATACTTACTATTAGCATTTAGCATGACCTCTGTTACTTTTCCAAGACAGCACTCACTCACTCTGCACACACTTGTAGACTAGTTTGGCTTTTGTCAGGTTAACCTCAGTTGATGGATGAACTAAAAGGCTCCACGCATTTCTCAGTTCGTTGCTACATTTTTTTCCTACTTCTCAGGGAAGAAACTCGGAGATAGCGTTCATCAGATTTGAGACAAATTTCCCTCTGTGCTAATTTGTTTTTTTTTATCATCTTCTTGTGCAGTCTCCTCAAGTCTCTCAAAGACGGTCGGTGCATCATTGCCAAGATTTTCTAAATTCTTGGCTCGCAGCCCTTTGGGAAACACTCGGTTGGCACAACAAAAACAATTTTTTCGTCTGTCAAAGCGACAAATCCTGGATATTTCCAGTAAATTCTTATTTTAAGTGCTTGATTTGACACTTTTATTGCTCTGAGGTAGAATAAAAAATGTGGAGTGGTGTGTTTTTGTGCTTCTGTCAAGCTAAAGGAGACTGATAAAAAAATGTTAGTGTATGAGGATGATCTTTGAGAATAGTCCTCAAGTCTTTAGAAAGCGTTACAATATTGATCTTTGACTGTCCGTTCTTTTTAGTCCTGGTCTCTGCTCACAAAAAAAAAACATCCTTCAGGTTTCAGGCTCTTTCGAAATAACCCGTAGGCTGTTTTAGACAGTAGTACAGAGTGGTATTATGTTTCTCAGAGATGGATTGATGCTAAAGAAAGTGTTTATTTGATGTGTTCAGGCAGTTGTCATGAAATCAAATCACAGAAAAAAATCTAGGTGGGTTAGAAACGTGCAAACTAATCACAACATTTTATTTTTTTTTAAGATAATTATTTGTCATTGTGACACAGCTCACCGCTGCACACAACCAAATGTGACCTCTGCTTTTAACCCATCACCAAAGTGAACAGGGAGCAGTGTGTGTGGACGGTGCCATGCTCAGAGCATTTCAATGGTATCTTGGCAGTTGGTGGACTCGAACCTGGAACCTTCTGGACCCAACTCTGCTTGCTTATCCGCTAAGCCACCACTGCCAACATGTTTTTTCTTTAAGAAACTCTAACATTTGGATGTAAGCTTAGTGGAGGAACAAGTCCTGGTCAAAAGGCTCTGGTTTGAACATGAATGTCAGGAAGACGTGAATGAAAAACACAAAAACAGAGGTTGACAAAGACGAGAATCAAGAATCTTTATTTGTCACACGACTCTTGATTCTTGTCTTTGTCAACCTCTGTTTTTGTGTTTTTCATTCACGTCTTCCTGTTGCTACATCTGTAAACTTTAAACAATGGAAACACATTTCTCGAGACTATCTTTGTAAGTTGCCACTGCACTGGTCTTTATTATTATCATAGGATATTTGGTGGATTGTATTCATGGTACATACATGTGAAGATTAGCCTACCATCCTATTGTCTGCACTAACAAGTGATAAAACACAGCTGCTGAGCCTCAACTTTCATTCTCACAAAGTAGTTTCCCACTCACCTCTGATCACACAGACAGAGAGAGCGTTTGCACAGGTAAAAAAAAAACAGTGTTCATTAAGGGCTAACCCTCTGAAATGGACAGAATGTGAACTACCAGAATCACTGGAGAGGTTGACGAGTGCTACATTCCTGACATCCTGTTACCAAGCGTACCCTGCTGCCACGCTGCCACTGGGTCACTCCAGTTATGCACACACAATCACAAATTCGCACACTTGTGCACAAACACACAGATATGCAGCCAAAGGATCACTCGCTCCTCGGAGCTGCTCAGAGAAACACCAAACTGGCCTTGTGGGATTGTCACCTTCCTGCCCAGCA